GTCTCGGCGGGCGCTTCACGAGGCGGGCCGGGGGGCCCCGACCCCCCAGAACGCGCGGCCAGTGGTCCCGCCTCCCGCGCACTCGGCCCCCCGCCAATCCTAGCGGTCGTCGCCGCCTCCGGAGCCGCCTAACCCCGGTCCCCAGCACATCGCAAGGCTGCGGCGCTCGAAGCTTCCGGCAGCCAGCGCCGCCCCCGGTGGGCGGGGGAAGGCTCTCCCCGGCGCGGGCGGGGCTCCGTTGTGCAACCTGCTACGGTACAGTCATGTGTTTGTCAGGCGCCCTCGCTGCCTCGTGATTGGGAAGTAAAGGAAGAGCCGCCGCCGCCACTCGGGGTGTACGCGGGGATATTTCCAGGAGGGGGCATTTCAGGCCATTTTGTTCAACGCCTTGCTCGGTGAAGGAAGCCAAATTAAATCCGGTCTGGCTTCCGTTGAACAACTTCTGAGAAGGGGCGGCCCACCCGCTCTGGCTATTTCAGCATTTTGCGGTTATGTGTGCAAATCTGCTTTTCCAGATGAAAAAGATAAAATCGATCTGGGCACGGTCTCCCGAAGATTCAGGACAAGACAGGCTCAAATATTAGCTTCATTTGAAATGGGGCTTTTTTTTGAGGGGGGTGCCTTCGAGTCAGTTTTTGACTCCTGGCAACTGCCTGGACAAGTCCCTGCAGGTTTCTTTGCAAGATTTCAGAAGCGGTTTGCCCTTGCCTCCTTCCTAGGGCTGAGAGGGAGTGACTGGCCCAAGGTCACCCAGCTGGCTTCGTGCCTAAGACAGGACTAGAGCTCGTGGTCTCCCGGTTGCCTGATGCCTTAGCCACTACACCAAACTGGCTCTCTTGTTTTGTTTTGCTTTTTAAATTTTATTTTATTGTGGAGATTATAATCCCATTTTTATTTGAAATATGTGTGCCTATGGGACAAATAGTCCTGTGGCATTTTGAAGCCTAATTCAACCTGAGCTACATGTATTTTCTTCTATTGAAGACTAATTCATTATTGAATAAGCTGTCATGAATTGCAGTTAGTTTCACCAGATAATGTATCTTCTTTAAGATGCTCTTTATTACATTTGTTGCCCAAATGTGGCAACCTATATGGAGGATGTATTGTGTGTAATGTTTAGAGTGATGGTATATAATTGTGGAGACCTACAGCAAAACCTATACTTGGCTGTCAAACTCACCGATAACATCGTTCACCTGAACTTCTTCACAGGGCTGTTGTGAGGTGATGATAAGTAGCATGTGTACGACTTTGAATTCTTGAAGAATGATGGGTTAGTGCTCTATAAAATTATTGAATGATGCCAAATGTAACATAAAACATTAGCTTTAAAGAAAGGAGCACAACTGACAACAGTATAGCTCATCAACTGAAAAAAAAGTAGGCAGTGTTAACACACTGAACTAGCTAACCTCATCTTAGTCTAGTGAGTTATATGAATCCAGCTCATGTTGTTAATGTATGATTCCCTGTGTCCTGCAATCCCAAAAAATGGGCTAATTGCAATTTTGAACAGAACCTTACTGGAGTCTTTTGCGTTAGGCCATTTGAATGGCCTGATTGGAAGCACAGATTCACCTACTAAAGGATTGCTACCATACATGATGCCAAAGAGGAAAATACCTAGATATATGCCCTCATTTATGCTGCTGGGCCATAGTACAGCACATTTTTCAATATTGCATTTTTGCTGCTACTGCGGATAAACATGCATTGGGAAATGCCAGTAGTCTTCTGGGCTAAGAAAATTGATCCAAGAGAAGACTTGCTTTCACCAAAGGTCACAGAAATCTGGGGAATACACTGATGCTTATTTATTTATTTTACTTATAAACTGTCTTACTCCACTGGTTTATGGAGTGTACAAATTAAATCAAAACACAAAATAACAATATCATAAAAACAACACAGCCATTGACAATACCAAACAATATCTGGCACAGATCTTAACTCTGGCTGCTCAATCTCCAAAGGCCTTCCAGAAAAGCCAGGATTTAGCCATTCTCTGGAATGCCTAAAGACCGGGTGCCATTCTTGCCTTGGGTAAGCCAGCTGTTCCAAGGCTGGAGCCTCTGTGCCCCCTCCCATCACACCCCATGACAGGAGAACAACTTCAACACGGGCATTCTATTCACTTGGGTTGAGCGAGTTGTACTTCCATCATCCAAGTACAAGGTAACAAGAACATGAGTGACTCTCTTCAGCACATCCTATTCTAGGTAAGGCCACAACTAGCACAACAAAGGAAGCCGGATAAAGGCCCTCCTGGCCACAGATTCCACCTGCTTCCTGCTCCAGTAGGAGCCTGATAGTCCAGGGGGACTCCTCAATTGTGAGCCTGCTTTTCCAGGATAATCACAACGCCATCAAGAACCAAAATTGTTGTCATCCCAGAATCAGCTGGCCCAAGCCACTCTAACTTGCAGGGTTGAGCCTGAGCTCTGTTCCCCTACCCAGGCCTGGACAACCTCCAGGGACTGGATCAAGATTTCCACTGCATTTCTCATTCTGTCTGGAGTGAAGATGTATAGCTGGATATCTTCAGCATATTGATGATACTCAGTTGCACCGATACATGACTTCTCCTGACTTCAGGTAGATAGGATGGGGGTGGGGGTGGAGAAAGCCCCAGGGCACCCTATTTTGGAATGTCCATGGGCTTGATCTCTTCCTCTCTGCAAACACTGACTGGAGCCACCTACTCAAGAAGGAGCAGAGCCACAATAAAATAATGCTTTCACAGATTGCCCAAAAGAATGCTGTGGTCCACAGTCCTGAAGGCTGCAAAGAGGTCTAATGGCAAGGATGATTGCACTCCCGCTGTCTATGTCTCACTACAAGTCATCAGCCATAATGACCAGTGTGGTTTCTATCCCATGCTCTGGTCTGAATCCTGATTGCTAAAAGTCTAAATAAACTGCTTCCTCCAGAGTTGCCACCCCAGCACTATCTACAACATTTCTCAAGAAGGGAAGATTGGATATAAGATGATAACTGTCCATCAGTACTGCATCTAGGGCAGACCTCTTTAGGAGGAGGAAGTTTACTACCTTTTTCAAGACTCCTCTAACTTTCCTTTCCTGCAAAGTTTTGATGCTTACAACCCAGATCCATCTCTCAGTTCCTTCCCTAGTCATTTTAACTAGTGAAGAGAGGGAAAGAGGTGATGTTCATTAAGTGGAGGAGCTCATATCATAGAAGACTGTCCATTTTTGAGATTTTGGAAAAATCTATATCTCAAAAGCTACAGTTGGAAACTAAATCTTAGAAAGGGTTGTGCAGATAATACAAAATTAAAATCATCGAACACCAGGACCAAGGATCCATAATAGGCTTTTGCTAAAAGACCCAGCTACCCAACTAAAATGCAAAAACAGGCAGAAATCCAGGCCATGTTACCCCATGATTAAAGCAATTTGCATCAACAAAACTGAGAAAGGGCTGTGGATGTATTGGCAGTTGGAAAAGACATTCACAGAGGGCAGAATATCCTGCCAAGTCAGTTGAGTAACACATGCATAAGAAAATGGGTTAATTGGTAGCTGTCTACCACTAATAAAAACATGAAGTTGTAAAGCATGATGATGCCAATACTTTTTAAAGGATCAACTGTACACCTGATGATTCTGTCAAATTATGGAATATCTTTACAAATCCATGGTTACTGTGGTATCAGAATTTACCTACAGAAGTTTCCAAAGCTTGCCTCATCTCCAGGTAACTACTGTCTCCTTTGCAGGCTATGCAGGCTTACATTGTTTAGCACACTAAATAGTCAGGATGCAATAGAATGACAGAGAGCATTACTATGTGTAGTCATCAGGAATGAGAAGCATCTGTTGCAGTGATCCTAGTATGCTGTGCAAAGTAACTAAGATTTATATTATTTGGGGTATTGTAGTCACCTGATTCACTTTGCTGAAGCAAAGAGGCCAGTCAGTTCTCCTCAAGCTGCTTCAGGATAGTGCTGAAGATCCTATCTGAGTTTTCTCCCCCAGTGCTGGTCGAATGCTTCTAGTCAGCCAGTTTTGGGACTGCCCACAGATTTTATTGAAACGAGCACTTAACTAATGGATTGGTATGCCCTGTGCAGGCACATAAGCATCTGGTATAAATCACAATAACTTCATGTGTATCATGACATCAATATGCAAATGATACAAATGATGTGATTTACATCATTTGTGCAATGAAATCATGACAATGTCTGTCCACCCCTTGCCATATCTGCTGATGCCCACATACCATCATCTAAGAGACAGTATGCAGTTTGCATATGCATATTCTTAACAGTATGCAGCTGAACAAAGCTGTAAATAAAATATCCTTTTTACCCTAGATTACATTCTTCTGCAACTTATGGTGTTTAAATATTTTTACTGCTTGATACCACCAGTGAGTTTTTGCAGATCTAGTTAGATCTAGAGTGAAAAGCTCTCTATGTGCTTTCCTCCAAGCAATCATTTACTTTTGAAATCACCCACAAGGTCTAGAAATCCTGAAAGATCACTAATTTTTTTTAAAAAAACATACCAAATGTTATAATAAACATAGTTTATTGTATTGCAACCATAGTAGGCTGTCATGGGACTTAAAAATGGATGGAGACTTATTCAGGCCACATCACCTTCCAGTGACAATCAATGGTTCAAAAAGCACTTCCAAACTGTACTTTTCTCCTTCAGGGGAATCATGAATCCTTTTAATATAGGTCATGTATCAACTTCTAGGATCTTGCAATCCACAGTGCCTGCCTTTCATGATTCAGCTTCGCTTTATTAGTTGTCAGCCAGCTGATTCTGTAGTTAAATCAGTTAGTGCCACCCTTGGCTTCAGCTGGTTCTAGAGTAAGAAATAGGGCAGAATGT